GTTGCACCGATACCAACATGTCAGGTAACGTGGGGTGGATCTTTGAAGATCTTGGAGGTAGGTGCAGAGCATGAGTTTGAATATTGATCGAAACGTGAGTTTGAATGTTGACTGCGCGGTAACTATGATAAACTGATGGGTGATGAATTTGTAAAGATTCATAACATTGATGGTGTTTTGGGAATACTATACCTATCACCCCATCCACCATTTCTACTATCCATTCAATTCAACCAAACAAAAAATAAATAGCTTAAATGTCTTTATCAAAAGGCGGAACTAGAGCTTGATTAAAACACTGGCGATTGCATTACAATTGCTCGATTCACGTGTATTAATTATCAATCACCGAGCTAGTTCATAGAAGGATTTACTTAGTTTTTGCATTTGAAAATTTTTCCCCCTATTATACATGCTCATGTATCTAGTTCCAAAGATGAATAATGCACTAGAAGAGGAGATCAAAGCTGCTTAAATTGTTGGCTTGAGAACTACCATTCAGCGACAACATATTTTCTCCAAGCCGCGAGGATGAGCAGGATGTCAAATCCTTCCCAAAAAACGTGTGTAAAAAGTGAAGCAGTCATGATGGCTTGCTTGTAATAACACTTGTTTGCATGAATATATGTCCAGAAGATATTGTTAAAAGTTGTAAATTTTACTTTCTCACTGCTAAAATTAAGTTGGAAACCAAGTTTTAATTCACATGGGCAACAACCATTGACAAATGGACCCAGGGATGGAGCCAGAAAATTTTTTCAGGGGCACATTATAGTATTGTATACCATAACATACATTTATAATACAATGTACATGCATATAAGTAAATGTTTATGAGTACATATATATAGATATAGATAGATAGATAGATAGATAGAGATAATGATATTTTTGGAATGAAAATAATGTACAGACATAGAATATAAGGATTGAGGAAACAATTTAGGACAAAAAATATGAAACATATATAGAATTCTATGAAGAATGAGAAAATTCGGGGGGCGGGGGGGGGGGGGGGGGGTTACATTCCATATTTTCATTAAAAAAAAAAAACATATATATTATTATAAAATATAAATAAAAAAAAATAAGAGAGGGAGAAAATCCAGGAGGATACGTGCCCCCAGTCCTTAACGGCCTCCGTCCCTGGATGGAGCTCCTTTCTTCCCCATCTCTTTGCCGAATCTCTTACTCTATCGTGTCTATTTTCATTTTTCCCTTCAATTTTCTTTTTTCCTCTCTCTACATCTGAAGTCTGTTTTTGTACATTCAGCTCGCAGGTAGTTACTGTGTTTCCAAACATACCTTAACTGCTCATGGTGTTAGGGAAACGGAAGTTTTTAAAACTTTATGAGGGTTTTTCAAACATAGATCTTGATTTATCACATAGAGACAAGTTTTATGCAAAAATAAAATATGATGTATCATTCAATTAATAGATTGAATACTTACATCAAGGTTTGAGTAAACCTTAGATCTCTCCTCTAAAATGAATGTTCTCACTTATTGTAGATCCCTTTGCTAGATACCTTCTCCTTGGATTTCCATCTTCTTGGTAATGGTTTTGCCTTTAGGAATCACCCATAAGCCTCTATGAATGACCTTGGAAAACTAGGCTTGTGGGAACCTCCATTAGATGAAAACACTAACCTTAAAATTCTAGAGAGAGAAAAATATATTCTTTTTTCTTCTAAAAGTCACCCCTAAAATATACATGGACCATGTATATATAGGCAACTTAAAGATAAGAAAAGGAAACAATAAATCATTCTCAATCTCTAATTCATATATCTCAAATCTAATAGGATTCCAATATCAAGTTGGGTTATGAGTGAGAATCTTTTAGGCTTCTAATTTTCTAGGTTACAATGAATTAATAATTGGTCCGATCCATGGACCCAGTTCAATTAATTCATAAATTAATTTTTACTCCACTTAAAGAAATTAATTGAACTCCAATTAAATAATAAATAACCTCTAAGTCAATGTTGCACTTTGACCCCTCTATGCATAATTAGTTATCGGATAAATAAAACCATCAATCCGACTACTTAATTAATATATTTATTTTGGTACCTTTAATTATTTCCAGCTTGATCACAATAAAATATTTGTTTGACAAAAATAATAATTTAAATAAATAAATATATAATAAATCATTTTGTCTAAAAACACACGAAGGCTTTCGAATTTACTTTGTGATCAACCATAATCAATACAAAATAAATATAAGTAGCAATGATACAAATATTGAAAATATAACTCTCTAACTATTAATTACATAATTACCCAAAGTGCCGGTCTAAGGATTCCGAAGATTCCGCCGAACAAATTAAAGTAATTACTAATTAATAAAAGAGTCTATACTTCTTTCATGCTTAAGAGTCAAATGTCATGACGATGACAGGGAGCAATTGCATACGACGGCTCTCGCAATATATCTCAACCTAACGCGGATCCAGTTCAAGTCTTAGTTAATAATGAGTCCATCCATAATTACCGACTTTGAACTATTTATGATTACTATTTATGTCCATGTATTGATCGTCATCACATACATATATAAATATCTCTTGTAATCAAGTGGACATTATCAATTTCATAATGAATCGAAACATAATACATTGAATTCACTAATTGTATAAAGCAAAAATATTACAGATATCTTAGGAACATATGTCACTTTAATCCAATTAGGAATTCGCTATGCCAGGGCATATAAATCCCAACACATGGCATTTCATAAATTTTTGTTGGGTTTTTTCGACCTTAATTAAATATCTAATTTTCTACACATCCATTTAACATCCCGTATCGACTTCCAATAACAGTTGGTTTCAAATCCATATTAGTGTTAGAGAAAATATTTTTCTTCTATGGATTGATGGTCACATCCTTGACGTTAAGCTAGGTTGGGGTACAACCCTCAAGTTCACAGAAAATCCTAGCATCAAACTAGGTTATCAAACCTCAAGAATGCAAATCTTGAGTCCGCAAAAAACTTTAACGTCAAGCCAGGTCATCAAAACTCGAGTGTGCAACCCTCGAGTTCACAAAAAACCCTAACGTCAAACCATGTCATCAACCTTGAGGGTGCAAGCCTCGAGTCCGGAAAGAATCATGACGCAATACCTGGTTATCAAACCTCGAAGTCTCCTTGGCTTCGAACCGAAGTTGTTAAAGCATAAAACGAGATATGGGTAGGGCCTTCTCGGGTGAAATTCACAACTATATTTTGGGACACTTAAAGGGATTTTTGGATGGATGGATGTGAAGTTAGATTTTGTCATTTCAACATATTCCCAGCACCATAGTATAGTTTTATATGCAAAAAAACCTAGCATTGTGATAAAACAGGCAGTAGTCAATTCATGACCATGTTGGACAATTGGTATGATTTAGAAGATCTTTAGTAATTATTAATCAGATACTTATAAGCAAAACTAGAATAATAAGACTTATCTTGCAGAATGTGTTTCATTCAGTAACTAGCATAATCCTTGTAAACTAAATAGACCACATTTTCAAACTAAACATAGTCCTCAATATCTGGGGATTGATAATGCTGACCTCATAATAAGATCTTAATTTAGCGTGTGGAATAGTTATTAGGGTAAATTACACTAATCTTTGTTGAAAATTTGGATAAATTACATATGGGTATTTTAATTTTTCTTGAAATTTGGCGTGCTTAGTGACACCATATCGTTTTCTTTCCAACAGACCTATTGACCAAATTTTGAAAAATAACAAATTTATCCTCCCTTGTATAAAATGCAAATTAATAAATAATTATGGATATAAGGGCATTACTAACTAAGAAAGAAAAAAGAAAAAACCAAAGAAGGTGATACCATTCACACGAACCAAAGAAGGTGATACCATTCACACGGGCCTCTAGGCCGGGAAAACTACAAATTTCAGACATATTTATTAGATATAGAATCTTCCTTTTGCGGAGCATCACATTATGTTGGCATAGCGATCATGTCTAGGCTAGGGGGCAATTTTTATTTCTCATATAAGCCTTGCAATTTCCTGACAAAATAAGGCCCACACCATCTATTATGAAGTATTGTTTTTGAGACCATGACTTTCCTACCCGGATCCTCCTATTTGTTAGTTGTTACCATCTATTTTTCATTTTATCTGTTTATTTTTATTATTATTATTATTTTTGGATACACTCTACCCCAGGACTATACAAGAGAATAATTGTTAGCAAAAAGAAATCTATATAATCCAAATGTAAAAGTGAAGCTATATGAGAAGATAGATACAACAGCAAACACAGGCTATTAGCAAAGACATTGGGTGTAAAAAAAATTCTGTTTTATAGCCATCCACATACAGAGTGCCTTGGGCAATTAGGTTGACAGTGGGTCCTTTAGGTCTGAGACTTGAATGATCCATCCATTCACCCTTGCCCTTGACCTCAGCAGCAGACCCCACTGGATGCCATGTATCAAACCATAAAGAAGTCTTTCTTCCATCCCTTATGATATGTTTAATGTGGTTCCTAGCAGTGTCTCTCAATCTCATTATTAATTTGGTTTTTGTTATGTAGGAGTGTAAATAGCAGGGGGAGACTGCTAGATGGCGGTGGTGGAGAGAGAAGATCCTGTACATGATATTATCTTTGGTGTAATCAGAAAAAAAGTTCTATTCATGATTCTGTCTTTTCACTCCTCTGGATGTCCATTATAGGATCATGATCCTTTCAGTGGCTGTAGTGTTGCTTATTTTATTTCCTTTGTATTCTGTTGGATTTGCTAGGCCTTGAACATCAATTCAAAATTAATAATAAAATAAAATAACAAAAATAATTATAATACTCCAGACATAATTATCTAATCCTATGAATTAAAGAGCTACCATCCACTTATCAAAAAAACAAAGAGCTACCATCTAATGCTCTGAATTAAAGAGCACTTGCATTCTTCCACATGTTATGTCAACATTCAGAAGCAAATTCAGTAAATTGCACAATAACGAAGAGAGAACATGAAAAGCCACTACTTGTATTTTGAAACCCATTCATGTACAATGTTTCATCTTTTATAGAAAAATCACATAAATCCCATACACCAAATTCATAGGACAATCATCCTACCATTTGGGGTTCCATTTGTCATGCACCTTCATTGGGTATTTCATCAGGTGGCATTTCCAAACTCAAAATCTTCATGTCTTGCGAAAGAGATGTTCTGTAAGTTACAAAAAAACAAGAAGTCAGATGCTAAGAGAGAAGGATTATATTTGTTCAACATGTCACATTGTGTGAAACAAATTTGGAGAGTATGAAGCAATTAAGCTAAATATTTGGGCACATACGTTTATGCCATATGTTTGGGCACATACATTTATGCATATGGAATAGTGCACAATCATTTTTATGACTAAGGTGCTAATGTTTCAAATCGAAGTGTTCCCTTCTCCTTCCGTCATACAACGTTCTCTGAGTGCGATCTGATGATGGCAAAAAATGGTATTGTTTTCCACATCTAGTTCACTTGCTTATATTTTAACATTTACAAGAGAAATTCTTTTGGGATGGGCATGATCAATGAGCTGAATTTCTTCTTTAGACTTCAAAATAGAAAAATGATACTGGATTTTCATCTTACAACCAAAATGTGACGTCCCACATCGCTTGAGGGGAGAAGTTACTGTCACGTGTGTGTGGATGCCTCCTAACTATGCAGATGCAAAAACTGTGCGCACGAAGAGTGTGCAACGTGATCGGTATTTATCCAGTGGGTCGTGATTCTTATAAAATTTTGAAATTCTGTTATCTCTATTTTCTCATCTTTCCAAATTCAAACATAGATATATAGATATACTATATAAATATCCGTTTTTTATGCTATGTTTGGTTGGAGGGAAGGATTGAGGAGGGAAGGATGGATGATGCTTCTTATGTTTGGTTACAGGGAAGGGAAGAGAGGCAGGAAGCAAAGAGGAATGAAGCATCCCTCCTAGCATGTTGTTTTTTAATCAGTCCAAAATTGGGCGGAAGAGAGGAGGGAAAAAAAGAATAACTAACCCAAAAAAGGTAATACCAATTTTAACCTTTAGTTATTTACTAAATAACTTGTTAAACCCTACGGAAATTCTCCCATACATAATGAGGGTATATTGGTAAAAAAATATAAAAACTCTCCTTCTTTTACTTCCATTCTGTCCTTTCCATTCTGTCCTTTCCATTCAATCAAACAAAAAGTGAGGAAGTCACCTTCCCTTCCTTAGGGATGCCTCATCCATCTCTCATGACTCAAACTTACGCAAGATCTCCCCAGATCCTTCCAGCAGTTGATCCATCAATAAATCTGCTCCTCACACAGTTTGCTTCTTCACGGATTTCTAATCTCGTTCCTAGTCACTCTGATTTTTATAACTTTCCAAAACCACTTTAATGTATGTCAAAAAGGATTTAGATGAATCAGACATGAAACCCATATTGGTGAATGCATGAACCTTAGTCGGTGAGTGTCAAAATACAAGTTGGAATTGATGTATATGAAATTCCAGATCTACTTCGATACAGAGTTCTCGGGGAGTTTTGCATGCCCGGACGCAGTGTGAATCCAAGCTCCTATTAAGCAGGATTCAGGGCGACATATCAGGGGAACCTCCACGCTGACAACCATGCAAAACAGATAATATTGATGGTTTGAAATAGAAAAAGCAGATAGAAATGAGAAAGTCTTCTCTGCTTACCAACTTGCTTGTTTGGGTCGTACAGCCGTTGCTAAGGGTCGCAGGTAATCTGTTCCATTTCTTTCTTTCTTGTTGTACGATCTTGCAAGGAATTTTGAACAAACAAGCGTATCGCCGGTCATTCCCCCGAACAGAAGGATCTTCTTCTCTAAATCATTCGACTTCTGAGTTCTTTGTCCAAACTTCTGAATCTTCTATCCATGCTAGCCGGAAAGCATTCATTATTTAGCACACCAAGCAGGGAAGTTCCTGGGATTACTTAGAGGATTGATTGTTGGAAAGGCAAACAAAGAAAGCAAGATGCCTGTCAGATAAAAAGACAGAAGTAACAGCGCATTGTGTGCATTCGGATGCGGCATATGAAGTATCTGCTTGAGAAAGAGGAGGTTTTGAAGGCTCTGGGGAGATGTGTGGAGACGAGGCGTCTTTCAATGCCTTTTTAAAAACTTCAAAAATCTATGCAATACTATTTCTGAATCTACCCCTAACACCTCCCACCTGAACATTAGAGGGGCGAACATGAGGCCTATACGAGCCTCACCTAACCTCTTTTCAGGGTCAAATGGCCATAGCAGCAACATCTCCCCGTCACTCAAGCAGAAGGTGAGGACACTTATCCGGATTGGTGAAACTTAGAAGGAGAAAGTCTTTTCACTCATTGTATATGAGACACCACTTTATCAATTGTTAGAATCCGCGGTACAGTTAGTGGAAGAACCCAGTTTTCCGTCTTCACAAGTTCCAGATATGCCCTTTCACTACCACACTGACGAGGAAAGCAGAGAAGAACAAGGCGCTAGTTAGCACTCCTGCAAGAAAACGGCCTAGCTAACGAGTAGGAAAAACGACTGCACCGCAACGGCTTTCTATCAGCTCAATCCGTTGCTTGTTGCCACTATCCCTGCTCCTTTGAGAATCAATATATAGTTAGTAAGATAATTCATATTGATTATCGCGGGGGGAGAGAGCTGCTCTGCGAAGCTGGGCGTTCAGTCTTCTTATGGAGGAACACATAGACGAAAGAGAATAGAAAAGGCCTTCAAAAAAGAGCGAGCGAGTGATGAAATAAATGCTAATGAGCCGCCAAGTACCAGTCTCGCAACAGTATTGGTGCAAAAGGGTGTGAGGTATGTCTTGAAAGAGCCTCCCGTTCCTACTGCAAGCACTAGATACTCGGTGACATTAGGATCAGTTACAAAGCTACCGAATAGAAGCAAGAAGCTCCAATTCATAGAGCAAGGTCTTCTTCTTTGCCCCAGGGAGTCTATTAGGAGATCCAAGAACCTGCAAGGTGGGGCTTTTTCTTATAACTTATAAGGGGAGGTCTGGTCCAGGTTTCAGTCTTTCAATGCCTTTTTAAAAACTTCAAAAATCTATGCAATACTATTTCTGAATCTACCCCTAACACCTCCCACCTGGACATTAAGGGGGCGGACATGAGGCCTATACGAGCTACCTTATAGATTTCAACCACAACTGATCGTGATTTTTGTTTACCCGGTTCGTCTCGAATAAATGCTACAACCCTTCCTTCACATTCTGACTTCTGTCCAGAAAAGAAGAAGAGAGCTGGGGATGCCACGATCGGAGAGACAAGGCATATATGTGAGTTCATTCTATAGTTGGAAAGCAGTCAATAAAGACTACTTCTATTTCTTTGGTTGTAGCCAGCTTGAACCTGAAGTTTGGCTCTTCTTCTATGAGAATCTAACTATGTCTGATGCTTTTCCTCGCTTCAGTAATGGTGCATACTTGTAAACTAGAGGAGCAAAAGGAATGAAAGAACCGAGCGTTCCATTCTACTTGTTTCTTTAGCAGACATGTCTAGAAGCCCTTGTGCTTCCTATATTGCAGTTTTCACTAAATTTCATTAGTGGAGCCTTATTACATAAGCATATTTTTGTATTGGTCTTTTACTGGTAACTGTGGGCTAGATTGCGACTGCTTGATATCTCAAGTGTGTGATTTATGGTGTGACAAGTCAAGATTTTGGAAAATGTTCGTGAGGTTATTAGACTTAGGTTGCCAAGTTTGAGATCAAAACTTGGAGTCTGTACTTTTTTTTATTTATTTGAACGTCTAGTTGTTATGTTGGTTACCTATGCCAACTGAAAAGTTGTTTTAAAAATTTTAAGTTAAAATAAAGATTCTGAGAAAGGGAACAAGAGGTGTACTATATGTTATAAGTTGAAATCTTTTTGTGCTCCAACTTTAATGTTTTTCTTTGTTATTCAAAAGCATTATATGTTTACTAATTAGAACCTACGTATCATACTTATGAGGTCTATTGACTTCTGCTTTTATTTCTCATTCAAAAGCATTTCAGGTTTTTCTTGCTTATCATGGTGAGTTGTGCTTCTTCTTGGTATGGTTTCTGTCTTCAAGCACTATTCTCCATTTAGTTTGTTATTGAATATGTATATATGATGATGATGTTGATTGTGAAGAAGAAGAATATCCAGAAGCAATTTCTTTTTTTCTTTAGGCATTATATAGCTAAGAAAAATTTAAAAGATAATCCTTGTAATAAGAATCTAAGAAAGTCCATTAGGAGAAGAAAGTGAAAAACACAAATAAAAAAGGAAGTCATATTATAGAACATAAGATCGAATCAAAGATGGCCGTAGAAGGGAATAATTTATAATAAAAGCAAGGAAATCCAAGCTACTTACAGCTGAGTTGATCTATACTGGATCTTGCCCAAATGGTTTAGGGAGACCAGGAGACGAAAACAAGTAAAGCCTGGATAATATCGCCCTGTTACTATTACACCATCCCTTGGTTTGTACACCTCTTCTAACCTTTGCCTTTTGAGATCATAACTCAGGATCCTAAGCGGAATGCTCAAGAAGATAACATCAGAAGTCGGATGAAAAGCAAAGGGTTGAAACCACAAAAACTGAGAACTAGAAAGCCCTTTAGAAAGCACCAAATCATTTATTAAACTAGCCATGTTGATCCTCCACTTCAAAGCCCATTCCATGGCCTTACAGTCTCCTTCAAGTGACCAAATGAACAACATGGTGGGGGTTTTCCTCACATAACATAGCCGGCCCATCAACACCCCAATACATCCAATTAGATTTCGATTTGCACTTCTTGTCAATGGGAGCTCAATGGCATGAACATCGACTTCATTGAGATCAAACCTCAAAAGGTGCTTAGACAAAGATAACTGGTACAGTGCACCATGAAAGTAAACAGCATGCCTTATCCAGGAGCGCCCATTAATGCAGGAATCAATTTGTACCCGGTGTCTAACCCATTGTTCAGTATTAGAACAGTATATGTCCAACACAAGCTTATTTTTCATTTTGCATCTTGCAATGCGTACAACTCTGTAGCAAAGGGACTCAGAGAGGTTAAAAGCCAATGCTGCATAGCAATGATGCTGCTGGTGGCAGCAGGCTTTGGGAATCGGCACATATTGCTTCATCACAGGGTTGCACACATAGTACCGTAAATCAAAGGAATTGAAGAACAAAAACAAGCCATTGCAACTATCAAGAAAGTCATTTGCATTAGTCTTTTGGAACGATTAAGTTGGCCAAATATTCAGAATCAACAAATCCTCCTCCACCACCACCATCAATGCCACTGTTGTCTTCTACAGAAACATAATCAATGAGCTCTTCGTTGTCAAAGCGCCCCAAATGCTTTAAAAATGCATCCCATACTGGGCAACTGGCGTCTGTGGTTATAAGAGGCAAACGAGGTGGGAGAGCATAAGTACGGAAGAAAAGGCCACAGAGAGGAAGAGACAATCTGGGCAAGCAAAACACAGAGATTAGATAATCCCATGATTTGCATACACATTTGAACCTAGTCAGAGGCTTTTCCGGCAATCGACACAGTATCTCAACCAACACATCATCAGGAAAGAAGCCCATTATTATTCGAATAAGGAACACAAAGGCGATTCTTTCTATTCCGGTGAACATTCTCGGACCTACATTCAATGCTTTAGGAAAATGGTGTGCTTCAGGGCGAGCTATAGGTTTGAAGACAGGCCACAGTAGTTTCAATGCACAAAAGGGATGGGATGGATCGGAATGAGGGGCTACCCCTTACTGACTATAAATCTTACCGGAGACAGAGCTAACTAGTCTCTGCGAGTGGAGGAAGTTTCCGTTTTTCTTATGAAGCAGAAACCCTCAGAATCGAAGAAGGGCTCATGGGGTATATGTAGGTGAACCAAGACCGTGCCAGACCTTAATGCCTATTCCTTATGTGCAAGGTTGAGACAATGAAGTATCATCACTTATGCACATAAATACATATATACATATATATACATATACATTTAGAGCCTCAGTTGTACTGTACCTTAAATAGTTTTTCGAAAGATTGTACCTTTACGATTCCATTGACTCTTATACCTTCGAATCTGAAGATCGTTCAAAACTGTCTTCGATTGGAGTCCTTGCATGAATTAGGTTTCAAACCTTAGGGACTTCAGTGTAAATAAGGCAGACAATTAGATTGCTCAGTGTTCTTTCATTGATTATACGCGTAGATATATATATTATATAAGTATATAATATATAGAGTAATGATATGTAAAATCTATTTGTGGCAGAAGAATCTATCGTAGGATTTTTATTGTAAATGGGTCAGTTCAAGTGTGGGTCAGTTCAACGATGGTTATGTTTTACTGCTTGGACCTTGGCCCAAATCGATAGATATCGATATATAGTGTGGACCTTTAGTCCCAACTCGGTTGCAACATTGTTCTCTTTGTATCCTGCTGATGGGAGCTTCCTTCTCCAATCATGGTTCCTGATCGAAGCTGAGTCATAGTTCAACGTGGAAACCGACGGATCTTCCTTTTGATTTCCCACAACGATGCCAAATGAAGATGCAAGAAATCTTCTGTTCTATTCTTGGAAAGTTTTTATTACACTCCAAACAACTCTGCCTCTTCTATGCTTCTCTCCTTCTATTTATAGTAGTTCACATTCTACCCTAAGCTATTTGCTTGGCTTCTATATTGGGCCTCGATGGGCCTGACTCCTTTTTTTGGGCTTTGTTGCTTGAGGATCCATTTCCTTCTGGGATACAATTGGGCCGAGTTTGGTCCAATTTAGACCTGTTGGGATAAAATGGCCCACTGGGTTTTTGGTCCTTTCATTCTCCTTCCTTTCCTACCATCCCCAGCCATCCTTTCCATTTAACCAAACAAAAAGTGAGGAAGTCACCATCCCTTCCTTAGGGATGCCTCACCCATCTCTCATGACGCAAACTTGCGCAAGATCTCCCCAAATCCTTCCAGTCATTGATCCATCAACAAATCTGCTCCTCACACAGTTTGCTTCTTCGCGAATTTCTAATCTCGTTCCTAGTCACGTCCCTTTTTTGTGTGCTTAAACTTTAGAGTTGTTGAAGAGCTTGAACCACAGCTATAAATGATTCAACAACCAATTGATACACTCACAATCCTAGATATAATGAATGTGGAAAAATACAAATTCTAACAATAAAAAATTACTATAATGCACAAGCAATCAGTATGGAATTTTTCACAGGAGAAAAGAAATCAAATATGGAATGCCTGAATGCTCCAATATTGTGTGCTTATATTTTTTGAACTTTAAGTGTCTTTACATAGAGCATGGAGTCTGAAAAACACTAGGGTTTTGAGCAATTCAATTCAAATAGGAACCTCAGAATTAGCATACTCAATCATTGATAGACACCAGCAGGCCAGTATTATTCGATGGATACCTCAATCGATTGAAGTCTCCTGTCCTTTTAGGAAGAGGACTCTGATTTTTATAACTTTCCAAAACCACTTTAACGTATATAAAAAAGGATTTAGATGAATCAAACATGAAAAACATGAAACCCTTATTGGTGAATGCATAAACCTTAGTTGGTGAGTGTCAAAATACAAGTTGGAATTGATGTATATGAAATTCCAGATCTACGATTGGACAAGGTACCATAACCAACATAACAACTAGACACTCAAATAAACAAAAAAGTATAGACTCCAAGTTTTGATCTCCAACTTGCCAACCTAAGTCTAATAACCTCAAGAACATTTTCCAAAATCTTTGGACTTGTCACACCATAAATTACACACTTGAGATATCAAACAGTCGCAATCTAGCCCACAGTTACCAGTAAAAGACCAATACAAAAATATGTTTATGTAATAAGGCTCCACTAATGCCTCATTATCCTACAGAAGAAATTTAGTGAAAACTGCAATATAGGAATCACAAGGGCTTCTAGATATGTTATCTAAAGAAACAAGTAGAATGCAAGTAAATGATGCCAACTGAAAAGTTGTTCTAAAAATTAAAAGTTCAAATAAAGATTCTGAGAAAGGGAACAAGAGGTGTACTAAATGTTGTATGTTGAAATCTTTTTGTGCTCCAACTTTAATGTTTTTCTTGTTATTCAAAAGCATTATATGTTTACTAACAAGAACCTACCTATCATAATTATGAGGACTAGTGAGTTCTGCTTTTATTTCTCATTCAAAAGCATTTCAGGATTTTCTTGCTTATCATGGTGAGTTGTGTTTCTTCTTGGTATGGTTTCTGTCTTCAAACACTATTCTACATTTAGTTTCTTATTGAATATGTATATATAAAGATGACGTTGATGATGAAGAAGAATAAGAATATGCAGAATCATTATATATTTTTTTTTTTCTATAGGCATTATATAGCTGAGAAAATTTTAAAAGATAATCCTTGTAATAAGAATCTAAGAAAGTCCTTTAGGAGAAGAAAGTGAAAAACACAAATAAGAATGAAAGTCATATCATCGAACATAAGATCGAATCAAAGATGGCAGTAGAAGGGATTAATTTATAATAAAAGCAAGGAAATCCAAGCTACTTACAGCTGAGTTGATCTATACTGGATCTTGCCCAAATGGTTTAGGGAGACCAGGAGACGAAAACAAGTAAAGCCTGGATAATATCGCCCTTCTACTATTACACCATCTCTTGGTTTGTACACCTCTTCTAACCTTTGCCTTTTGAGATCATAACTCAGGATCCTAAGCGGAATGCTCAAGAAGATAACATCAGAAGTCGGATGAAAAGCAAAGGGTTGAAACCATAAAAACCGAGAACGAGAAAGCCCTTTAGAAAGCACCAAATCATTTATTAAACTAGCCATGTTGATCCTATACTTCAAAGCCCATTCCATGGCCTTACAGTCTCCTTCAAGTGACCAAATGAACAATGTGGTGGGGGTTTTCTTCGCATAACATAGCCGGCCCACCAACACCCCAATACATCCAATTAGATTTCGATTTTCACTTTCTGTCAATGGGAGCTTAACGGCATGAACACCGACTTCATTGAGATCAAACCTCAAAAGGTGTTTAGACAAAGATAACTGGTACAGTGCACCGTGAAAGTAAACAGCATGCCTTATCCAGGAGCGCCCATTAATGCAGGAATCAATTTGTACCCAGTGTCTAACCCATTGTTCAGTATTAGAACAGTATATGTCCAACACAAGCTTATTTTCCATTTTGCATCTTGCAATTCGTACAACTCTGTAGCAAAGGGACTCGGAGGGGTTAAAAGCCAATGCTGCATAGCAATGATGCTGCTGGTGGCAGCGGGCTTTGGGAATCGGCACATATTGCTTCATCACAGGGTTGCACACATAGTACCGGAAATCAAAGGAATTGAAGAACAAAAACAAGCCATTGCAACTATCAAGAAAGTCATTTGCATTAGTCTTTTGGAACGATAAGTTGGCCAAATATTCAGAATCAACAAATCCTCCTCCACCACCACCATCAATGCCACTGTTGTCTTCTACAGAAACATAGTCAATGAGCTCTTCGTTGTCAAAGCGCCCCAAATGCTTTAAAAATGCATCCCATACTGGGCGCCTGGCGTCTGTGGTTATAAGGGGCATATGAGGTGGGAGAGCATAAGTACGGAAGAAAAGGCCACAGAGAGGAAGAGACACTCTGGGCAAGCAAAACACAGAGATTAGATAATCCCATGATTTGCATACACATTTGAACTTAGTCAGAGGATTTTCCGGCAATCGACACAGTATCTCAACCAACACATCATCGGGAAAGAAGCCCATTATTATTCGAACAAGGAACACAAAGGCGATTCTTTTTTATTCCAATTGAGACAATGAAGTATCATCACATATGCACATAAATACATATATACGTATATACATATATATACATATGCATTTAGAGCCTCAGTTGAACTGTACCTTAAATATTTTTTCGAAAGATTGTACCATCGACTCTTCTACCTTCGAATATGAAGATCGTTCAAAACTGTCTTCAATTGGAGTCCTTGCATGAATTAGGGTTTCGAACCTTCGGGACTTCTGTGTAAAAAAAAAAATTCGGCTAGATTGCTCAGTGTTTTTTCATTGATCGTAGGGTAAAGTGCATTAAACCCCCTTCGGTCATTTGCAAGAAACTCTCTTAAATTATAAAAAATCCTCTGAACTATGATTTTATTACAATTTATCCCCTTAAACTATTGATCATCTGTAAAAAATTCTCCTAAACTACAAAAAACTCCCCTGAACTATGATTTTGTTGCAATTTACCCCCCTCAACTATGATTTTGTTGCAATTTACCCCCATGACATCAACTTCCGATACCGAAAATTTTGAAAGACCAGTTTACCCTTATAACACGTACACTGCGTCGTTTTAACTTATACACTTCTTACTTTTTTTCCTGCCAAAAGATGACTTTCACCCAACACAACCCAAAACTGAGAGCTAGAGAGAGAGAGAAGAGACCAAAGAAATCCGAGGTCGGCGGGATGGCTCGGTCTCGGATGATGGCGGCTTGTGCGCGGAGGACTCGGCTGTGATGAGAGCTCGGTTGACTCAGCCGTGAACTGTGAAGGCGGCGGCGAGCTCAAGGGGGCTCAGCGGTGAACTGTGGACGGCTATGTGCTCGAAACACGGACGGCGATGTGCTCGACTATGGAGATGGCGGAATGGGCCGGTGAGATTAAAATGGACGGTGGAATGGACCGGCAAGCAAGGTGAGCTGAACGGCGGGCAAGGTGGTGAAGGCGATGGGCTGACGCAACGGTGCAGAGAAGTGCGATATATATAGCCGACGGATTTGGGTAGTGGTGCAACGGTTATGATTGAGTTATGACGGGAGACCCACCGATCCCAGCAACAAATTTCTCGGCTTCATCGTCCCTTTCAGTCAATCAATTCGCGTGGATGGGGTAAACTGCAAAAAAATATACAGTTCAGGGGGTTTTTTTGCACATACCCCAATAGTTTAGGGGGGTTTTTTGCAACTTTTATAGTTCAGGAGGTTTCATGCACATACCCCAATAGTTCAGGGGGTTTTTTTTGTAATTTTTATAGTTCAGTGAGGTTTCTTGCACATACCCCAATAGTTCAGGGGGGTTTAATGCACTTTACCCTTGATTATACGCATAGATAGATAGCACAAATAGATTTTACATATCATTACTCTATATATTATTGTAAACGGGTCATTTTAAGTATGGGTCAGTTCAACGATAGTTCTGTTTTACTACTTGGGCCTTGGCCCAAATCGATAGATATGCCAGATAACAATAATTGACATAAAATGGGAACTACCTCGAACGTGTTTTTGAAACATAACAAACAAACATGGGTATTTTCATTTTATAGAATCCACAAAAAAAAAAAAAAAAAAAAAAAAAGGATTGTCTACAGAGTCAAATGACAAAATAAGAGAATCAATTGATGTGGTATATATATTAGAGGAATGGATGGAGGGAATTGAATATATACGAAATTGTACCTGTAATGGAGTTTGTTGGCTTAGGTCTTTGTTCTGCCATTGAAGTTCAGTTGAGAATTTCAATTGATCTCGCTTCAAATTCGAATATTCTTTAGTGGATTAGGACTTGTATTTGCTGTGCAAAACCCTGGGGGGAGAAACTAATGTGCCTTTTGAGAAGAAGAGTTTGAGTTCGATGAGTGAGAGTTATAGATTTGATGAGAAAAAGGGTGGAGAGACCAGACGGTATCAGCTCTGCAACCTCTGATTTGAGTGAGTGGTGTTGTAAAGTAGACGTTTAGAATTTTATATTTTAACTGGGTAATAAAAAGGATACATTTGGGTTTTTAAAAGTTTCATTAAAACACCAAAACGCTCTTCCCAGACGAAAAGCTCTTTAAAAAAATATAGTCAAACACTACTCAAAATAGTTTTTAAGTCCAAAAAAAAAAAAAAACAAAAGTTGCGTTTCAAAAGTCAAACCAAATGGGGCCATAGTGTGGACCTCTAGTCCCAACTCGGTTGCAACATTGTTCTCTTTGTATGTATATGCAATAGCTGCATCATTGTTCCATCATTGTTCCAGTGTTCCTATTTACTAAATATATATAGAATACAGGGTCAACTGCATTAAACTCACTTCTTCTTCTTTTTGTGTTTTTTGCACTAAATTCTCATTTTTTATTTTTTATTTTTTGTCAAAAAAACCCCTCAACTATCTGAGGGGGTAATTTAACTGACCAAAGTTAGTTAAAAGAGAGTTGTTTGGACATTGAGTTTTTTTATATATTTTTAAGACAAAAATGTCCTTGTACCTATTTCAATATAACCCACATATGTATCTACTACATTATCACTCTCAGGCGTATATCCTCCACCATTGCAGCATCACAAACTTTTCTTTTTACTCAGCTTCTTTTATTTATCTATCATTATAATATTATATATAATATGTATTATAATATAATGGTATATATAATATACACCAATAAATATTATTTATACTATATTTGCATTTCTATCCAGCCATCATACTTATATAAATCTGGGTTTTCCTTTATATTTATCTGCTAATTTATTTTATTTTATTTATTATTATTATTATTATTATTATTATTATTATTTTGAGAATTATATTGTGAATTCATTTTTTTGGTTTTTATTAATTTTCATTTTATACGGATTTGTTAAAAGAATTCATCTTTTACCACCACAAGAAATAATACCTATTTTTTTTCCTTTTTTATTATTTATGCCTACATGTTTTTCTTCTTTTTTATTTTTATATTTCAAAATAGTATTTTTTCTGTAAAAAATATATTCCTTCCATGTGAGTAATGTGAACTTGACTATCATCATAACATTATTTTGGAATTCTTTATGCTTTTACAAACAAAATAGAATTCTTTTTAATTAAATAAAAGATTGCTTTCAAAACTTTATTTTTTATCTCCTCACCAGTCTAGTAAAATGTTAACATTTTAAGAAAAAAAAATAGAAGTGTTAATTTATATGAACAATGTCGTTTAGGTTATTTAATAAATAAAAAATAAGGTGCTCCCACAAAGTAGATTTTCAAATAGGCTTAATGGGTATTTAAGTCAATTTCTATTTCAATTCCATTTCGGCTAATGTCTGTTTGCTAAGTCACCCCCTTGGATAGTTGAGGGGGATTTTTTGGCAAAAAAAATTAAAAAAGAAGGTTTATTGCGAAGCGCAAATAGAAAAGGGGTTTTATGTAGTTCACCCTATAATATATGTCTGATGTCTCAGATACGTTTCTTATGTTATGCATACTCTTTCTGAAAAAATAAATTTTGATAAAATTTCATTGTGATTTCTTGTGTTGAATTTCGTTAATTTTCTTTATTAATACGAGTTAGGTTTCCCCCTGATTGATATGTCTTAATTATATTTCAAGCATCAACAATTTTTATTTTTTTATTTTCTTTCTTAATGGATACAAACTGAAAGTAATAATTTTAATGCTAGTTGGTGAGCCTTTTTTTTTTATTATTTTTTTTATTGAAGGTTAAGCAAACTTACACAGCCACGCCTCCACCAAGTCTTGAACCCCCGACCTCTCCTTTGGTTAGCCTACTTTGCTCATGATTATATCATAAATAAAGGAACCTAAATGTAATTGCATCAAAGTATATGCCATCAAGTGGCATAAAATCTGCCTTGAAACTTGGGATGTTAAGCCTACGCCTTAATCACCCATGTGGCCAGATTATAAAATTATAAATGGATGAGCATGGACTCAACTTTGGCCCCTAATAAGAAAATTCAATTTACAATGGGATTTAAATATTTTATGTCAAAATATCTAAAACTTCTGTTAATAGGGGCATGTTTCCTACACCCTCAAAACGGGCTTATAGACCCACAAAGTCTATTTCAGAATAAATTTAATTATTTGGTAAAAATTCTAAAGCCAACACATTTTTTGTATCCTAATAATAAAAATTGGTCGGGTAGATCTAGGCCTTACCACTATTAAAATAAATTGGATTGAATTCACATTCGCTCGGCATATGTTCAGTTTTATCAACAACAGCAAAAAATCACAAAAGAAATATATATATTGTTAAATATATAATTGAATATTGTACTACATTGCAGTATCTAAAGATTAAATGAAAATATCCGGTATATAGGAGAAAGTTTGGGGGTAGGTGAGTGATGAACAAGTTATCTATATAGTAGAGGAATACATGGTAACTGGGTAGGTGTGCAAACCCTAGTTTGTAGCTAAAGGATATAATAGTACTTTTATAATCTAACAGCTCCCTCAAACTTAAGGTGAGATTGAAACCAACTTGACGAGATTATAAAAACGGCTCAAAAAATATTTGGTAGAGAAAACTGTTTTCACCCTAATGTAGGCATCGATGCTAACGTGGTTGATGACATGCCAATTGAAGTGGCAGGTGACTTGGTACTACTGGCACTTCTGTTGCGTGGCAACTGACGTGGTCGGTAAAGTGGCACAACTACTGGCACCGTTACAAAATGTGTCTGACGTTGCACCGATGCTGACATGTCAGGTGACGTGGGGTGGATCTTTGAAGATCTTGGAGGTAAGTGTGGAGCATGAGTTTGAAGGTTGATCGAAACGTCAGTTTGAATGTTGACTGCGCGGTAACTACGATAAATTGATGGGTGATGAATTTGTAAAGATTCGCAACATTGATGGTGCTTTCGAAATACTATACCTATCACCTCATCCACCATTTCTACTATCCATTCCATTCAACCAAATAAAAAATAAATAGCTTAGATGCCTTTATCAAAAGGCAGAACTAGAGCTTG